AATACATAAGTTAACTTTTAACTTATGCAAAGAAGCTCGATTTATTTTATTTTTACTTTATCTTTTTACAAATGACATACAAGTTTAATAAAGAGACTCATGTCTAAATTAATCTAAAGTACAAATTTATAATACTTTTGCATTAGAGAAATATAAAAATTGATTCTACAAATTTAAAACAAACAAGGACTAAACGGGATAGTTGGACCGACAAACACATATTATAAATGAGCAAAAAAAGTATAACCACTCGTTGGTTTTCATAGTGTCTAGTTTGGAAAAGATAATGAACAAATACTAGGAAAAGAAAATAAAGCCACCCTCGAATATTTCCTTTGCTTCTTTAATTTCTTTTGGAATCAATGAGTTTGGCCATTCAAATGGGATCAATCTCCACAAGCTTGTCTTCAAAAGTTGGTGCCTATACTATTTTTTTGTCTTTGACTACACAGCACCTTGACCAACTTCGTACATAAACAATTACCTTAATTTTTTTTTCTTTCTTGATAATATATTTGTTATTACATTGTCATCAAAAAACAACTGTAATAGCAACATTGGTAGACCCAATCGTGAAAACAACACAGCGTGATCGCTGAGGGTTACAAAGTACATAAAAACTTCCTTTACAAAAATACCCTTAAAACTCACTATAGAATTTAACATAACTTTCAACAATCAACCAATTATTATTCAAGTGATATTAAACTTCCTTGTGTTAAGTACAATTGCACTCACCTTTTATAAATAAAATCTTGAGTTCAAATGTTTGAAATTGTTCCTACCGTAAGTTTGCTATTATCGTAGTCATTGCATCCGAGGTATTGTTTGTTTTGGCAGACGTTAGACCGTTACGATTTTGTCTTTTAAAAGGCACCTTGGTAGATTAAGGAGGGAGGATGTTTATAAATTACCCTTAGCCTCAACTCATAAGCGATGTGATACTTTTAGGCATATCGGAACAAGCCCCCCTGTCGATGCTAAGGGGCAAAAGTGGCCTAGGCCCTCCTTCTAGCGCCAAATGTCCCTACCGTAAGTCTGCTATCATTGTTAGGGTCATTGTATCCGAGGTATTGTCCGTTTTAGCACTTGTTAGGCCATCACAGTTTTGTTCTTTAAAAGGTGTTTCAGTAGGTTAAGGAGGGAGCGTATTTATAAATTATTCTTAGCCTCGACTCCTAATTAAGCAATGAAGGACTTTTAGGCATACCGGAACAGAAATAAAATAAATGCGAATGAAAGAACAGAAAATTTCATTATTCTAGATTAAATTCTCTAACAAATATTAGTATATCAATATGAAATGTTTACAACAATAACATGTTTATCCTAAAACATAACTTTCAACAATAACTCAAAGAAAAAGAAAAAAGAAACATAACTTGGTTTGGTTGGAGCTAGCCACGAAAGAATCTTAAACAAACATAACTTGGTTTGGTTTGGTTAGCTATACCACAAACGTGCATTGAATAGGAGGAAGAAAACTTTTTTTTCCTGTACCTGCATGGCTGCACATGTTTTCAAGACCCCACAAAAGGACGATTGATATATATGTGTGAAAAACAGAGGCTCTTTACTCTTTATGCAATTGTATAATTGTATTTATATAAAATAGGTAAGAAATACTCCGTGGTTCTCTAATTTTAAAAAAAAAAAAATAAAGAATAAAACACGTTAGATTTAAAATAAAACCACACCTAATGCATCAAAGATTATATAATCGTATCTTAAACCATTTAAGATAGAATTCGTTTCATATCGTCTTAATTCGTCAAAATTGACTAAGTCAAATCTTTGATGAGGTTTTACCTCTAAATCACGTTTCTTTAAAATAATTTGAAAACTTGAACTAAATATAAATTAGAAGAAAATCACAATCTTCTTTTAGCAAGAATTTCTGTTACTAATACCCTTGGTGTTTACAATCACCATCGTGCATAAATGCGTGGGTTTTCAAGTCATTTTCTCCCCCTTCTTACACAATCTTCCTAGTAAATTAAGTAACTAACTCAACTAAGAGTCACAATCTCCATTTACAAAAAGTCTTATGTGTAGAACTAACTACACAACTCTTACACTCACCTTTGTCCATACCCGCAAAGGATTTCAAGTCAATTATTTTATAAAATTCATTTAGTCCAAACTTTTAAAAAAAATTATAGTTAATCTCATTGTTTTCTGAATATTATATAGTTTTCATTAATAACTACTTTTCATCACCCATTTCACAACACTTAGATCAAATCCAAGCAGTCTAAATATTACACAAAATGAAATTGAAGGTAAATATTTCACTGAATATAAATACATTAATTTTGATTGGAGAATAATACTTATAATACTTTTTTAATAGCAAAAGAAAACTTTTATTAATAAAGTCAAGTAGCCTAAGGTGTGTCACAACAAAAGCATTTGTAAACTTTCATCTACATACATAAAAAACAAATCTGCAAAGATGTATGCAAAAACTTCAATGAAGATAGAAATTAACTAATGCAAAAGCACATAATAAATTTAACCAACCCCAGAAATATCTATGCTGAACCATATATAGATATATAAGACATTTCTTGAAGTAATTTGTCACAAAAACATGAATATTTTTCGTTCCATCATGTATTGTATATCTCATGGCTCTCAACGGCCAATGCACTCATGGTGGTGTTTTTTAGCATTAAACCACACGATGCTTTTCCATCTCCTTTAAGAACCCCATCCAAACAAGTCAAGGGTTGAACATATTGAATAATACTATCTAAGTTTTCTCCATCTTAATTAATTTTGTTTTCTCTAAATTAACTCAATTAAAGAATGAAACCAGAAGAACCTGTCCAGATATATGATAGCTGTAATTCTGATGATAGTAATGTAATACCTAGACATTATTAATTTGTTGTCCTACTTGTGTCCTCTCTTCGCATGTGGAGTAGACACATTTTTCTCTCAACTACACATGTCGCTTGGGGCGACATAAATTAAATAGGTGTTTCTATGTATACATGCCTGTGATCAAAAGTGGTCCTATTTTTGTTGCTAATAATGTGTAATACATGAGCAAATGGGTTTTTCTATTCGAATTCGAAGTGTCATTGTGCATACACAGCCACACCAATTTTAAGGAAAGAGGTAATTGGAATATGTCAACAATTTTTTCAAAACAATTAATAATGCTCAATCCGTTCTTTCTGTATATTCACAATAATCAGTTTCATTATTTAAGAACTTAATTAATTTGGATATACTAGCTGTTTTTAATCAATTGTAAATAATAAATTCCCATAAAGTTGACAGATTTTATTTTAATAATAATTAATTTAAAAGTTATATCTAAAATGATTTATAATAATTACTTAATGGTGTAAAAATATTCTAAATCTTGAATAACTGATATTGCATTAACCTTATACAAGTTCAGTAATAGATGAAAGTAAGAAAAAGATATGAGAATCTGTAGTGATCTCATGTCCGAATTCCATTTTGGTTCTTGAATGTAGCACATAACAAAAAAGTTTAATTTTAATGATGAAGGGTGTGTTTGGGTTATTCCGTTGAATGTAACTTTTTTTTTTTCTTTCAATATATGTGTTGTTTCTTCATTTTATACTTTTGGAATGCACAGACATTTGGTGTCTTTGTATCAACAATCCAAATACACACGAAGTAAGTATATATCGAGGAACATGAAGGATGTATAGAATTAGAATTAGACTTGTTTTTGTAAGACTTCTCATGAAGTATGAAGAATTAGAATTTGAACTTGGTAGCACTGAAATGATAAACTTTTTATTTTCTTGCATAGCTCAAATTAAGTAGATTTAACGGATCCAAAAATATATAAAAATATGATTATAATACATTTATACAGACATCTTAATTATAAATATTTTTAGGATGAGTTTGATTGAAAGAAGGGTTAAAAAAAGGAAGGAATTTCTTTTCTTATTTAGTTCGAAGAGAGATTTTATAATCTATTTTATTTTTATATTTTTATATTTTATAAGTTTAAAATTTTAAATATAAATAAAAATATTTTAAAATCTATCCCTTCCAAATATTTTAATATTAGATAAAAAATAAAATTAGATGGATAGAAGTTAATTTCCTCCCCTATATTTTGACTCCCCCTAAAAGTTGAAACAAGTAAAAAAAATTTATAAAAATCACTATTACTTGATACTCATTCAACCAAACACATGTTAAAATAAGAGATAAGAGGAGACAACATTTTAATCCAAAGAATTATAAAGAACCATTTGAAAGAAAAAGGATTAATAGCGTAAAAAATAACACAAATATTTTTACATCATCCCAAATTTCCAATGCCACAAAAAACAATGACATTTTTATCAATGAAGCAACAACATATAAAATACATAATAGTAAACAAACAGGAAACACAGGACCTGTCAACTTCACTACCACAAATGTCAAATATATACAACTATTTACACACACACGATACATCTTGAATATTGAAATGATTCCCTCAACATTTTTTTCCCCCAAATTCACATACTAATTCAAACACCACACATACCAATCGCATTCATTGATACTTACAAGCCCAATTTTTTATTTTATTTTCTAATTTATAAAATCCCTATCATATACATATACTTTTCACAAACTCATCACAACCGTTGAAATCGAAACTCGTTAACATGAACCTCTTAAGAAACGAGCTTTGAATTGAATCAAAACAGTGCTAAAGGAATCAGTCAATCACACACACAGATTAAACTCTCGACTATGCCGAAAACCATCACAGAAGTTGAATGCTAATAAGGGTTTCACACTTACACTTCTTCTATCAAGAAATTGAGGCCATAAATAAATAAATAAAAATGTTAAAAAATACTGGGTTTTACTCTTATAACTTATGAAGAGGGTGAGGGTATATAATATAATAATATATATGTGTACAAAAACAAAACAAAGAAAAATGAAAATGAAAAAAAAAAAAAAAACATGTTAGATCACATATATATATATATAACTGATAAGTGATAACCCTACTCATTTTATTTTAATTTTTTTTTTTGCTTTATTATTTACACGTTAACAAAAGGGTGGAACCACCGAAGTGTGTTCGTAGCAAAACGGTGCCGCGGGGTGCTGCCACTTTTTGAAGACAACTTTTTCGGGGTCGGCGTTCTGCCGGCGCTGCTGCGGCGGCTCCTCCTTCTGTGGCGGCGGAGGGGGCGGAGGCGAGGAGGCCAGCGGGGAGAGCAGCGGAATCGCGACGTTCCAGTTAACGGCGCGGTTAATCTGTAGCGAGGAGGGAGCGCGGCTCTGGAGGCGGCTGGGCTGGCGGCGGGAGGGGCGGTTTCGGTGGGAGTCGGCCATGTGCGGCGGCGGACGGCGAAGAGAGAGAGAGAGAGAGAGAGGAGTGTGGTTTGAGAGAGAAAACGGTGGGTGCGTGTTTCGGGGTATAAATAGAGAGGCGTGCGGTGCACACGTTTGGAATCTGAAACTTGAAATCTGAAATGAATCAAATGATTGATGTGGCAGCTCAGCTCAGCTTGGCTTCTTCTGCTACTGTTGCTGCATAATATTGTAGCTCGGCTTAGATTTTTTTTTTTTCTTTTTAGATATATTTTGTTAATAACTTTTTATTTTCTTTTGACTACGATTTTGGATTCTTAAATTTTAATTTCATAATTTCAAGTATTCAATTTTATAAAATCTATAATTTTAATCTTGTCACTTCATTTTGTAGATCATCCAAAGTATATAAGATTCACTATAACATCATATGAAGTAGATATTATGACAATTAAAATATAAGTTAACTTTTATTTTTTTTTTTTTATTTTATAAAAGTGGTCAAATAAGATAAAATAGTAAATAAATTAAAAATTAACTTAAATATTAATTATCATATCGTCTTTTTAATGTTATGTTCAAGTCAAAGTACAAATTTTAACGATTAATTAATGAGTATTTAGTGTTTTAATTAAAATTGTAAAATTAAAAATTAAAAAAAAATAGATATTAAGTTTTATAAAGATATTAAAAGTGTGATTTAACTTTTTTGTATATTATTTATTAACTATTCTAATTTATATTCAAATTATTCTATCCTAACAGTAGTATTAGACTTTCTAGTTTAAATGGTAAAATCTGATAAATCAAATTTAAATTGTAAACCTAACACTCTTTGAGACCAAGATTGTTTATACTTAATTTGGTTGCAATAGGTCAAATATTATGTTTCAATAGGATTTAACAACTACTCACCTCTATTGTATGAAATTTTTGTAGTTGATATGTGTGATGATACATAATTGTTTCTTGTTATCTTTGATGATTATGTTGTTATGCTGAAGTTGTTAAGATGTGTTATAGTGTTGTAAGTTGTTGAGCTGTTTGTTTATAAGTTAAAAGTTGATATGTAAAATTGCATTAGATGTTGAGTAAGTTGTTTATGTTGTATTATCGTAAGATGATGCTATATATGTATGTTTTTTCTATTTTATAAGATAACTTTTTTTTTCTTGTGAGTAAAATTGTAATGATCATACTTAATATAAGAGTGAAACAATATTAGCAAGTGAGCTTTTGTAGTTTAGTAGAGCGTATCACCCGATTTTAAAGATGTTATTCTTATGTGACTTATTTTGGATATAGATACTTGACTGATAAATAAGTTCATTTTTGCACATAGTAATTTATTATATATATATATATATATAGAGGAGGGTTCAAACGACACCGGTGTAACTTTAACTAAGTGTTACACCGCTCAATAACTTTATATTAATTATGAATTTTGTAAATCCAACCGTTAGATTGAAAGTTCATATCACTTTATATGCGTATATCAAATTTTGTTAAAATTGAACAACAACTTGAGGGTAATCAAAGTGTTCATATTTTAGTATATTTTAAAATAAATATATTACGTCAATTTTGTTTTATAAGAATGAAGTATCAAATCATCTTGGATTAATATAAAATTTTGTATATATGATCTAAGAGATATGAACTTTCAATCTAACGGTTGAATTTACAAAATTCATAATTAATATAAAGTTATTAAGCAGTGTAACACTTAGTTAAAGTTACACCGCTGTCGTTTGAACCCTCCTCATAATATATATATATAATGTATGAATGACATGGTGATTTTTTTATAATAAACTTAGAGTAGTTATTTTTTCATTTTTATTTTTTTATTAAAAAATAATTGAAATTTATTAAGTATAATGACTTGTTGGATCATTATAAAATTTTAAGATATATCTTTTTATTAAAATATATGTCAAAATATTTTTAGTTTATTCTCATTTATTTAATTAAAAAAATTATAAAAAAAAGGGGGGATTAAAATGTGAGGTAGTAGTAGTAGGTAGGGGATTGTGGTCAAAGATAGGCACATGACACGAGGAAGCATACATCATATAATTAAAAGGCTAATCTAAAATAAGATACACCCCTACCTTCCTAGAGAGACACCATAAACAAAGGCTACTTGCTCAAACCTTCTCTCCTAATTATATATTTTTATTTAGTTCATTTTTTTTCTAACTAATTATTAAATATTGATTCTTGTCATAACGTAAGTATCACTAAAGTGATTTTTGTGGAATTTTAGCATCACACAGAAGAATCTCATACTCAATTGTGTTGAATTTTGTAAGTAGTTTTTATCACCGTATAATGATACTTTCCTTATTTATACAATAATTATATTATTTAAAATATTCTAAGATAATAAAATAAAGACTTATATATGATTCTAGTCTTTATAAAATGTGAGAATTTTAATTTTCGTTTCGGTAATATGTTTTTTTTATCTTTTAAAAAATTATAAATATTATTTTTAATTCTTATAAAAGATTTTTTATCTTTGTAAAATAAGTTGATTTTGATTTTGATTTCTGTAAAATAGATTTTAAGATATATAACTAATATTTATTTGAAGCAGTCATAATTTTTTCTAGAAGTGTCACACACTACCATGAATAATTAGTTATAGTTAACATTTGAAATAATCACTTAATCTTTTAATTAATAAATAAATAATTAAAAATGATACATAATAATAAAGACTAAAAATAATAGTTCTAATTTTTAGAGAGATAAACATAATAAAAAATGACCAAAATATTTTTTTTACTTTATAGGAAATAAAAATATATTCAAACTTAATAAAAGCTTAACTTTTTAAATTAATTTTCTATATTTATTTTACAAGTTTAGAAGGAAACTAACTCGATTTGATTTTGTAAAGTGATTTTAAATATTTATAATTATCAAATAAGTATATAAAAAATTATATTACTGAACTATATATTTATAAATGTTTATTTATTTTAACATATGATCATTAAAATAATAAATAATTTAATAGCTATATTAGAGCATTATATAGAGGTGTTATATTCGAATTTTATATTTTTATTATTGTCATTATAACTGTTACGCATAAATTTTTTTTAATATATATATATAAAATTTAAAAAAATGAGTTTATTAAATTTGACTCATGCTATTGTTAATTTTGTCTCTTTTTATTTTTATTTTTAAAATATATTGTAAGGAAACGTAACATTAGTGTTAGTATGATATCTGAGGGTCCCACTGGCTTTCTAATAAATAGTAATAAAACCCAAATCCGGAGAGTTTTTGACCGGTCAAGTAGGTAAGGCGTCACATTCACCTTTAATTGCTACCCTAAAACGTAAAAGTTACAGTTTTTATTCAAACGTTATTTTTTAAGAATTAAATGTTAAATATTTGATACTATATTTAATAGGAGTATTTATACTGTATTTTATAGAAATATTTGCATTTTTCTAAAAAAAAATATATTTGCATTTTGAATTGAGTTGATTTAGAAATTTAATTACAATGTATTGATAGTTTTTATTTTTTTAATATTATCTAATTATAAAATTTCATATACAATGAAATTATTGATTTTTTATAGAATTTTTTTTAAAATTTGTATAAGGTTATTATCAATTGGTTGATAAAATAATATATAAAAACTAAACTCTTAATTTAAATATAATATTAAGTTCAAGAAAATTCAATCGAATTAAAAGTGATTTAAATCTAATTTGTATAGATTATTCAATTTTCATAATCACTTTTTATATAATAATTAATAAAGAGGTACAAGAATAACTTTAAATTTTATTTTTTTGTTACGACTTTAAATTAATTTAAAAATTAATAAATTTACAAATATATTAAAATAATAAGATCTATCTAAAATAAATAAGATGTAATTTTGGCAATAAATTATAAAAGAAAGTCGAGTTTTATAATTTTATAAATATATAATTATATAAGTATGAGTACGAAGTTAATTTCATTAATAATTTTTTATATACACTTAAATTTAATTTTATTGGATTAGTTTTTTTAAATCGAATCTGAAATTCAACCACATCCTTTAATAAAAATTCTTTTTTTTTATTTAACTTTTACAATTCATATTGAATTAAACATTTTATAAATATGTCTAATATTCAATATCAGATATAATATTTCTATTTCTTACTTTTTAATTATTCGCATACATGTATTGAACAAAATACTAAAATAAAAGAAAATAAATAAAAAAAATGAAAGTTGTGCCAAAAATATTATACTGAAATCCTTATTTATTTTATCATTGAAAAATACTTTTATTTAATAAAAGTGCACATTTTAATATAAATTTATAATTTAAACATCCATCCTAGTTTGATTTAATAATTTGAAAAATAACATACGATTTTTCTTTTTATCAAACTTTAAAACGATACACCACTATAGCATTGATTTAAATAGAATTGAATTTGGGTTCTGATGTCTCATTTTCAAGTTGATGGTTAGAAAAAATGTGGTTGAAACATTACGAAAAAAGAAAATTTTTAAATAATACAGCCTGAAATTTAACCCCATCCGTATCACTTTCTTCCAATTTCTCATCCTACATCGATTCCACGCCCACGCCCTTCTGTTCCACCACCATGCTTTTCTTTTTATATTTCTTATATGAAAGCTACCATAATTTGACTTTCAAAATAATCATAATTTTTATTATGAAAAAAAAGACCGGATACACCCTTAGTCTTTACTCTCTTAAATGTATGAAAATTCATTAAAAAAAAATCTAAGATGTATATTTTATTTTGCATGAATATGGGTACAAACAGTTAGCAAATACAAATATGGATATAAAATTCGAGATTTTTTTTAAACTATAAATAAATAAATATGCTGGTATAGTTTTTAATTAATATAAATAAAAGCTATAAAACATTTGAAGATTATCGTAAAAATATTCATAATAAAATAAATAAACTCATCTTACATCTCTTTATAAAAGATAAATGAGTTGCTCTTTTTTTAAAAAAAAATACAGAAACATGTAAACAAACATGAAAGAATCTAGAGAGATGAATCTCTAATCTCTAAATTTACTTTAAAATGTCATCATTACTTTGAAGAGAAAAACGATTAGAGAATTTAAAACATACCTAATAATACTTTAAATCGCATTTAATTTCATTAGTCATCAAATTTAGTAGTGGGTACGAGTACAATTTAGCAAAATGAACCCATTCAAGGGGTATTGTGTTCCATCAAGTAAATTTTATAAGCATCTGACCACAATGTACTTCCTACGAGTGAGAAATTAAAACGAATATAATAAATGCTGTAATGTGACATAATGTTATCGTTACTCGACGCAACTAAAAGACTTGACTGCATGTTCGATTGGTTAATAAAGTCAACATATTTTCTGGTGGCTTAATAAAGCTAACGTATGGTATTAGAGAAAACAAGATACATTTATATCTTAGTTGGTGTCACGGTTATACTTTATTGATTCATCTTTTTTCAACGGATAATAGAATGACCAAAATGAAGGTAACCATCACTGGTAAAAGCTTGAAGATTTACAAAACAGTGGGCTTCGTTACTAGTCTACAATCATCATATAATTATATGTACACAAGAAGAAGAAGCCTCTAGCTGTTGAAAGGATCCAACAACCTATACAAAATTGGGTTGGTAGCCCTAAAAGACTAAACAAGCTTCAAAATAAGTAATCTCATGTGAAAAGCATTTTGAGGTCTTGAATCCTAGCATTCCGAACTTCATCGTCGGTGAGGGCACCCGATATCATCATTTGTTTCCTTGCTTGTACTTTTTGCAAACGATCTTCCACTGTGTCCTGTTCACAATGCACACAACCCTTACCGTAAGTTAATCAAAATACGGAAGGAAGAAAAGCAAGACAACAAAAAACGTGCAAATTTGAACCAAACCAAGAGTTTTTTTCAAGATTGCCTCAACAAAAGGATAAGGTTAGACTACTTGTGAAAAACGTGAGAAAATGGCTTTTCCGCCCATCTATAAAAAAATATCAAAACAATAAAATAGTGATAGATGCTTGATGTTTAACAGCTCCAAGCACTTCAGTGGTTGAGCAATATCAAAGGATGCATAGCAAATTAAAATAATTAAGAGGCATAACATTTGGTAGGAAAAACGGGTGAAAAGAAAGAAAATGCATGCTTCTTATCATTAAGTGGCGCCGTCTGGCAAAAAGAAAAAAGGGAACTTTGAATATTCCAAATCTGATCCGAAACATTTGACCATTGGAAGTCGGCAATACGGGTATTATCTTTGGTTATGTTATTAGTTCTAAGCAAAGTTGAGAAAATGAATTGGCTAACCTTCACAATGAATCTTCTGACAATTACACTTCGTTTTTGTCCTATGCGATGAATTCTCATTATTGCTTGCTCTTCAACTGCAGGATTCCACCATGGATCCTACATTTACAATACAAAGATTTAACACAAGATTGAAGTCCCACAGGATAGGGTGAGAAGGAAAACATAGCGTTACCATAATGAAAACATTTGATGCTGCAGTTAAGTTCAGTCCAACGCCACCAGCCTTTAGTGACATCAACAAAACCTGAAATAAAGAAACGAAGTAGTGATTGAGTGGTAATATTTTTCACGTTAAATGATAAATAATCCAAATTGACATCGCTTACCCTTTTCTCTGTTGTCTCATTGAATTCATCCAGAACTCTCTCCCTCTGTTTCTGAGTCAATTTCCCATCATATCTCAAAAAGCCAATTCCTCTCCTCCTTAATGGATTCTCCAACAGATCAAAAAATGAAGTCCACTGACTGAAGACAATACTCTTTTCACTTGAGGATGAGTTCAGAATACGTTGCAGGAATTCCAGTAGCTTTGAAACCTTTGAAGACTCTGTCACATTGTTCTTAATATCGACCTTGAATGGGCTTTCAGATGGACAAGTAATCAGATCGTCTTTCTGGAGCAATTGACGACAGATTGGACATTTGCCACCCGCTGAGGTGCCCCAGCAACTGAATATACATTCTCTACAAAATTTATGGGCACATGGTGTAAACACAGGATCTTCCGGAGATTCCATACATAAAGAGCATTCTACGGTGTCACCCTTTTGAATATGCTCCAAAACCTCGTCAATGTATGCACGAGGTTGGATAGAGTGCGAAGAAGAAGCAGAATGTAGAAGCAATCTACTTGCAAGTTTGTTCAACTCTGCATGTTGAAGATCGTTTTGATTGCTTGCCCCGGGGGATTCAGTATTAGACTGAAGGAATCTTCTTGCGAGTCTGGTCAAGTCTGCATATTTCTGGGAATCGCTTCCGCTTCATATACGAGGCAAATTCATGTTAGAGGCGGAAGAAATGGGAGGGAAACATGTAAGAATAGTTAAATGTGTTTGCCACACCTACCACATAACCAAAAATGGATGGTTACAACACCGTCTCAACTGCATTAGTAGATCAAGGATATTCGCATAATGGTGAAGAACCTTGCCTTGTGCAACATACTGATCAAATTGACCCTGTTTGCATATGGATAAGTTCAAGTTAACATGCCAAACAAAAATCAAAACCAACAGAAATCCTAAAGAGGATAATGGATTTCTAGAAAAAGCAATGTTTCAGAACAGTTACAATTAACGGATTTACTTTATATAAAATGATAAAAGTGAAACAAATTGTTATTTAGAACTAAATATCAGAAGCTGTGGCATAAAACTTACTTTAGATCTCACAAAAAGGGCTTCATAGAAGTCCCGTTCAGATTCTGTCTGTTGACACTCGATCAATTTAATATCAATTGGTGGAAGGAAAAGTATAGGCCTGAAAAAACATAAACGACATAGATATTGTGATTAAAATATATAGATTTGTGCTGTAAAAGAAGACACAATTCAAGTGAAGTGAGAATGACTACCTTCCTTCCTTATCCTTCGATTCCTTCGTTCTTCTTAGCATTATCATCCTCAAAATGGCCTTGACCAATTTCAGGGATCTTGGATCACCATTCTCATAAGGCCTTTGAACTAACTTGTGCCACCTATTACAGATGTTTACGACAAAAAATAAGTACTAGCTCGCAATAAAAGTTTTCTTCTAAAAAATTGAACAAATTTACAAGTTAGCATCACATTCTTCCATACCATGCCCAGTTGCACCAAGGTTCAACACGCAAGAAACACAAGAGACTGTATAGGTCTTCCAAGCTATTCTGCAATATAGAACATCACATTTCACAGAGGTGCCGAAAGGTGAGTTCCTTTGCTGAATATACGATACCTTTATTCTAATAATTAAGTACTACAATACAGATGAAAGAAACATTTTTGTGTGAAAATATTGGAAATTTCATTGTGCATGTGGTATTGTTTATCCTTGCAACTATAATGTGATTACACATAAATGTTCACCTAAAAACTAAAAAATACTAGCCTGAAGTGGAGTTCCAGTAAGACACCAGCGGCTGTATGAGGACAGAGTAAAAGCAGCCTGGGCACTCAGAGTTCTATGGGCTTTTATATTATGAGCTTCGTCTAGCACCACCCTGTACCAATGGACCCTGTGATAGATGCTATTCTCTCCATCCTGGATTCAAAAGTCCGGGACCCCATAATGAAGAAGCTTCACTACGCAAATGGAAAAGAGAAAATATAAAGGAATATTTCCTTACATTTTTGTAAGCAGCTGATAGGACACCATACGTTGTTAAGACAACATCATGCCCTGAGATCAACAAGGGATCATTGGTTCTTCCACCACCATAATGAACAAATATGGATATACTATCTGGCTTTGAATGTGTTTCAAGTTCATCCTGGTAAGTTTAAATACTTGTGAGCTACCTTGCCAATTATAGAATATTAATGTCATTTGGACTATCAATTATAGAATATTACTATGTCATTTGGACTATCAATTATAGAATATTAGTATGTAATTTGGATTATCAAAAGAAGAGGCAAAATTGTTTTTCAATTTGGTATAATATAAAGGAACTCACCTTCCATTGACTTAACAAAGCCATGGGACAAACAATAAGAGTTCCACCCTCCACTTTATGCAAGGTGTTACCATTCATCCCTTTTTTTGCGATAATATTATCATCTCCATTCTCTACATCCTTGTTTTCTGAGTTGCCCCTGCCTGGGTTACTGAGTATCAGAGCAATTGTCATAACAGTCTTACCAAGTCCCATTGCATCAGCTAGAATCTAAAACCAAAGATGAATAAATAAATAAAAACAAATTACGTAAACATGTAAACTGATGTAGTCTTTTGAAAATTGATGGTCTCAAACAAACTCACTCCTCCTCTTGCCATCAGCGTTGACTTCGGGAATTTTTTCGAAGCCTCTCCAGTAAAGATGTTCACATAAATTGTCCTTCTGTTAAAAAGCGTGTAAGGTTAAATTGCATACTGATATTGGGGGCAAAACTTCTTTCTGTTTGTTGAATCATCTACTATAAGTACATACCCCTTGCATATAGTGTAGGCTGACCAGCAGGGATGCAAATTTCTCTCTGCACTCCCAACATCCATTCCTTTCTCAATTTCCGACATCCAAAACAAGGCTTGCTTCTGGTAAGGCTTTAGCTTACACACAAGTGCCTTTGGGGCTTCCTTCTCCTAAAGACATACAAGATGCAAAAAGGTTGATGACAAGTGACGCTAGAGATAAGTTTGAAACACTAGTAAGTTCATTACCTTTAGGTCATAGATTTCTCCAGCTCCAACAAGTTTATTTAATGCTGATTCTGAAAGAGCTTGTTCATCATTATTTTGCTCTGGAAAGGGCTCACCACCCTTTCTTCGCTTGATCAGAGGCAATGCTGCAGCTTCATCTGGATCAGCCTGTAAGCATCAACAGCATCGTTAGGCCTCTCTGAATAAAGAGGTTGCTTACAGAATCAGGAAACATTTACGATAAAGACATGAAATACAAAATCTTAGACATCAACATTATGAAACCTATAATCTATTAGAAGGGTCGGGAAGGAAAATAGTAGCACATACCTTTGGATAGAGAAATCGCTTCCGAGAATCTATATCCTCAGGAGTGAATTCTGCCTAGTTGAATGTAACAACCACCCATTACAAATACAACATTGAGAAACAAAAAAAAAATTACGAAAAGAAAGGAGGTATCGATTACCTTCTGACTTGGCTTGATCTCTAGCATTTTCAATAGGGAAA